TATAGATATTAGTTTTTTTTTGTGGTCTTAGTTTGAGGCATATTTGTTCCATCTCCGTCAGCTGTAGACCATTTACAGGATGATACGAGCTAATTTTTTGCTTCCTGAACCATGACATAAGTTGCATTTACGAAAAATGTGCTGTGTCGGGTAGCCCATATTGTGTTTGGACCTCTGCAAATGTTTTTAACGTTAGTCCTTGGCAGATATGGAAAAGATGTGTGATATGGTGGTTATGCCACATTTTGTAGTTAAATTCCGGTATTACCAAGGGTAATGCTTCCAGGGGCAAGGCTAAAGAGGTACCATCTTTCATTATGTGTGTATCCCCAAATTGATCCCATATTTGTAGTGTAAGTTTGCTCGTGGGGGAGGATATTCTTGTGTTTGGGCCGTAATTTCCTGGACATCCAGGCAAGGGCATAGATAGTAAAGTTGTTGGTATAAGTCCACTGCGGGGGGCTGGAATTACTATTGGCGGCTAGTACCGGGCTCAGGATGGCTGCTTTGTAGTAGTTTGTTACATTCAGTAGGCCCATGCCTCCCGTTGGGAATGGTTTGTATAGGGTGGACTTCGCAATTCTGGGCCTGGTGTTATTCCAGACAAAGGAATTTATTAATTTCTGTATGTCACGTAGGTAGCTATTGGGAACTGCTAGTGGGATAGTTCTGAATAGGTATTGTATTCTCGGAAGAAGTAGCATTTTTGCTGCTGCTATCCTGCCTACCCATGAAATGAATTTCCCTTTCCAACTGTGTATGAGGTTTTTTAGCTCTGTGAGTAGTGGGTTGTAGTTTGCTTTGTGTATACCTGCTAAATTCTGTGTCAAGGCTATCCCTAGGAACTTAAGGTTGTCCGTACGCCATTCGTATGCGAACGTCTCTTTAAGATGGCTTAGCTCAGAGTGTGGAATGTTAATTCCCATTGCTTGTGTTTTGGTTATATTTAACTTGTAATAAGAACAGTTTCCATATTGTTGAATCAGATTGTGTAGCGCTGGTAGTGAGATATGTGGGTTTTGTAGTGTAAGGAGGATGTCGTCCGCAAATAGTGTGAGTTTGTATTATTTGTTCTTAACCTTGATTCCCTGTATCTTGGGATCAATTCTTTATTTTTGTTGTGCATGTTATACATAGCAATGTCATACGCCTCAACAGCCTGTCTGAGAATGTACTTAAGTTGAACAGTGGCAAGAGGAATTGCATATTTTTGTATAATTATAACAAACATCAGCTTGGCTAAACAGTGAAGTCATTAAAATAAAAAGGTAGCTTATCATAGCAGTTATAACTGAATATATCCTCGCTAGAGTTAACTAGCTGTACCATAAAATAACATATGAACTAATTGATACAGACTAGGTCTAGCTTTTATAGATGGGTGAGTCACATATGGTTAGGTTAAGCTCTGCATTGAAGTGTAGTATTAACAGGCTGAGTGTGTGTGCTTACTGGCTGCGCTGCCATTTGCTAAACAATATGCTAAGGCAAGGGAGATTATCAATTGCTTCATTAATTAACCCTGTGTTGTGGAGGCAGGTCTCCCGTTAAACATTAGGTGTGTGCGAGGCTGAAGATGAAACATATTGGCGTTGGTGTTATACTATTACGGTTAATCGAGTGCAGGTGGGCTTCAGGTGATAAGTGTTCAGTTGCATCTTGCTGTGTTGCGCGGAATCAGTCCAGGAGACAGGCATTTAACCTCATAGGAGCGTGTTGGCTATTATGCCTGCAGGGTGCCCATATTAGTTCAGCCAATACCTATTGGGTGTTGGATACAGTCCCGGTGCATGTGGCAGCTCGAGTCTAAGTCCCTTCTTGAGGAGCAAGGTGGCTGTCCCAAAGAGGCAAGTCCCTGTGTGAAGGTGCATCTGATGATGGGTGGTGGGGGTGGGGTGTTCAGCCCTTCTGTGTGGATTGAAGTCCGGCCTTGGCGTTCCCCATCTGCTCTATGGTTGCTATTCTGCCTGGGATAACCACGCGCTAGTTTTTCCCGCTGGCGGCAGTGTGAGACTTGTCGCTTGATGTGAGTCAGCCCTGGTTGCTGAGCTGCGTGTCCGCCGCCGGGATTCCCGAGCGGTTTTGTAGGCATATAGGCCTTTAGGGGTCGTGCACACTGCTGTAACTTCAGATGGCTGTTGCTTATCCGTTTTCGTGGTCTCACCATTTTCGTCTTTGTGAGCTTCCGTTGTGGCAGTGTATGATCTGGTCTCACCGCTGCTTGAGGGGTCACCTTGCTCTGAGGAGGCTCAGGCCTTCTGCGGCCTCCATCACCACTCTTTCTCCCTAGATGCCAGGCCTGCGGTGCCGACATCCGGGCTTCTAGCCATCTCCAGAATCGCTGGAATGCTTGGTCCAGTCTGCTGATTGTGTTGTCCAGCGATCCCAGGAGGTCCGGCTCTGCTGTTTGAGGTTCAAGCCTCTGTATCGAGAGGTCCTCGTCCAGCCGCTGTTCATTGGTTTCCATCAGGCCGTAAGTAGGCAGCCTGGTGGTCGCCATCTTGGCAGAGACTGGGTCGGGTGAGTTCCCTAATGTCACTTGTCGTTGTATGGTAAAGACTGTTGGTCTGTCGATTGTGCCGGGATATCCGTCACCGGCCAGGGGGGGAAACGGGGTCCCAGGCTCTTCAGTGACATCCCGCTTGTCAGCTCACAGGGAGGTCGGCCGCCTCTCCCATGCTTGCAGCCGCAGGTAGGCCGCTACTCTGTTTCCACTCCGGCTCATTTTCCGAGCACTGCAGTCCGCCCAGAGGAGTTTTGGGGGTAACACCGATTCTCTTATGCTTCCAATTAGAAGGTTCGTCTAGTTTTATCAGTTATTAGGATCTTTTTTGCAGGTTACTACTCTGAGCTCTAGTTTAGTGCGGCCAGTCTGCTTGGCGGTCAGGCCCTGCCCCCCCCTTGGGATCATTTATAATCAGTTGTGTGAGAGGTTCTAGGGCGAGTATGTACAGTGTCGGGGATAGGGGGCAGCCCTGTCTAGAACCGTTGGAGATATTAAAACTGTTCGATGAGAAGCCTCCATTTACCACCTGGGCCGAGGGGCAGGAGTATAGAGCTTTTATCAATGCTATGAATTGTGGGTGGAAGGGCCAGTGAAGGCAGTCTAAAGATTTCTCTGCATCCAGCGATACCAGTACACTTGGCACATTCCCTCCCCGCAGCTCACCCAACAAGTCTAGGACCTTCCTCACTCATCCGCTCCCTGGCGTCCACTCACGAACCCCACCTGGTCTGCGTGTGTTATTGTAGGTATAATTTGGGACAGTCTATTGGCAAATATTTTGGCTAACACTTTTGTGTCCGTGTTGAGGAGTGAGATCGGGCGTAAGTTCTGACTTTTGTTTGGTGGTTTCCCTGGTTTAGGGAGTGTCGCTACGTGCGCCATGAGCATTTCTTTCAGCATTGTGCCTGTAGTAATGATGTGGTTGTATACTGGTGTCAGACGTGGGGCTAAGATGGTGGAGAATGTTTTATAATAATAATTAGATAGGCCATCTGGTCCCGGGGATTTCCCGGATGGTAGAGATGCTATGGTTTGTAGTATTTCTAGGTTCGTCACAGGTTGTTGTATCAGTTCTTTTTGTTGCAATGTCAGTGATGGCAGTTGTCTAAGGTCTAGGAAATTGCTTATTTCCTTTTCAGTGGGTTGGTGTGTTGTGTTATCCTGCTTTAAGTTATACAGATTGTGGTAGAATTTGGCCATTTCATCGTTAATATCTTGGGGGTTGTATATTTTTTCCCCTTTGTTGGAAATTAAGTAAGGGATTTTGGATTGGGCTTGCTTTTTCCTCAACAATGCTGCCATAGCTTTCCCCGCCTTGTTGCCCTGGGAGTATTGTCTCATTTTTAGACGTTGCATTGTATAGGATGTTTTGGCTAGGTGGATGTCGTTTAGGCGTTTTGTGGCGGTTGCTATTGATTCGAGATGGGCCTTGTCTGGGCTTGTTGTGTGCACGGGTCATGTACTCTTCGTTGGATGTGCATTTGATGTGTGAAGCCCTACTGATCAATAGTCCTCTTATGGTTGGTTTGTGGGCCTGCCATAAAGAGGTGGGAGATAGGTCTGGGGTGTAATTAGTTTGAAAGTATTGTTCTAGATCTTGTGTCATCTTGGCAAGGAAGGTGGGGTTGTGCAGTAGGGATTCGTTTAGGTGCCACGGCGTCTGGCCTCTATGAGGAAATGGGCCTCTCAGAGTTATGGTAAGTGGCGCGTGGTCAGACCACACGATGACCCCAATTATGCACTGGGTGGTTCTCAATATCAGTGGCCCCGACACCAGGATGTGGTCTATTCGTGAGAACGACTTGTGTACCTGTGAGTAGTATGTGAACACTTCGTCTTTAGGGTTTAATGTTCGCCAAGCATCGTATAAGTTGTGTTCTGTTATTAGCTTGAGTATAGCTTTGCTTTGTGTCCCGGTTGCGGAGTGTCGTGGGGAGAGACCAGGCGGTGTTGTGTCCATGCGTGGTTTAGGTCACCACATATGATGGTGGCTCCCGATGTTGTTTTGGGGAGTTTGTTCAAAACTTTTTGCAAAAACTGTCTTTGGTTCGTGTTTGGGCAATATATGCCTGCAAGGACATATTCGGTATCGTTGATCATGCAGTGCAGTAAAATGTAACCAGAACAATGAGCAAGCGCTGAGTAACACAACTGAGCAGCAACCCTATAAGGGAATCCCTCAAAAACCCTTAGAATAAAACACAAAGAATACAGAGAAAGGGCTGCGCTTAAAAAATACTTAAAAAGTGTTAAGAGTCCAGATAAAAATGGAAAAATAAAAAAAAGGGGAGGAAGATCTTATCTGGCAATGTCCGTAGTATTTGGTCCGGAACAGTAATCTTGTTTTCTATCTTCCTTATGGGCCGTCTCGTATGTAAGAGATGAAAACAAATACAGAACCCAAATGGTGTAGTATATCTTGATAAAACGGAAATTAAAATATAAAACTTGAATGTAAACTCACATTTCCAAGAGCTAGAACCTGCTCTGGTGTAACGGGCGTACAGCGGTTTAGATCCCCGCTTATGGGATATAGAATGCTTGTCCTTCACGTGCCTCCTCCTTCCGTGGTGTGGGAGATACTCAGATAAAAAGAGACAACTAATAGTGCTCTCTGCATAAAACTTAGGATAAAATATAAAATAAAAGTGGATACTCACAAGACAGGAGCAGGTCAACTGCTCCTGATATATCACGCTGGTGGAATAATCCCCACCTAGGATTGCTTGGAGTCCAACGAATGGTGCCAGGTAATAAGAATAAATATATGTGTATAAAAGGATAGGTGGTACAATAAAAGGTTACCAAATATACTTTAATTATAATAATACACAATATAAAAAAACCATAAACGCGTTTCGCCAATCGGCGTTATCAATATGGGTAACCATAAACGCGTTTCGCCAATCGGCGTTATCAATATGGGTTTATGGTTTTTTTATATTGTGTATT